AGGTGCGGGGGTCTCAGGGTGGTGGGGCAGCAGGAAGGACGTGGGGACGGGTCCCCAGGGGTTGTCGGTGATGTTCTCTCTCGCGCTGCAGCAAGAGGAGATGACAGCGGAGGGGACCGCTTTGGGGAGAGCTCATGAGATGATGGTGTGAAGTGTAAACCACCACCTGATGCAAATGGCATCGTTGTGGCTGTCCCAGGCTCTGGGTTGTCTTTCTCTTGAGCAAGAGCCACCCTTCTTCCATGCTCCTACCATTCCCTGGTGATATGGATTTTCCCCATCTGGTCTTGTAGGACTTTGGCCACCTTCGGTGTTGCCATCCCCCAAAACTGGTGGGTGTCCATTGGCCAAGCGCAAGGCTGGGGAGCAGTGAGGTGAAGGGCAGAGCATCCTTTAGCCATAAAACAAATGATGGCTCATCCTCCACACCCAAGGTTTGCTTTCATTTTTCCCTTTCCTCTTTTTCCCTGAGCAGGCGAGTGCCAGGAGGTGTTCACCGCCATCAAAGGGAATTTCTCTAGCCCTCGGTACCCCAACTTCTACCCCAACAACCTCAAGTGCCAGTGGAGCATCCAGTTGCCCCCGGGCTACCGGATCAAGGTCTTCTTCTTGGACATGGAGCTGGAGGGTCGGAGCAGCCTGACGGGCAGCTGTGAATACGACCACTTGGCTGCCTTTGACGGTGGCACTGAGAACGGGTCCCTGCTGGGACGGTGGTGCGGGTGGGAGAGCCCAGCGCCCGTCACCTCCCGCAGCAACCAGCTGCTGCTGGTCCTCCACACTGACCGCAACATAGCCAAGAGGGGCTTCTCCATTGCCTATGTGGGAGGTAAGGTCTCACTCGGGTGCTCCGGAATGCTTTATTTCCAGCAGGACACGCCCGAGACCATGTAATCTCTGGAAGGACCATGCAGTGGAGATACTTGTCTGCAGGAGCAAAGCATGCAGCTCTTTGGGGATGGGGTGGATAAGATGTGGTGGGCGAGCCCCAGCTCTTGCAGACTGTGAGACGCACATGCCCCACGTCGTGTTTAGTATTCAAGCGATGCTTCCCAGCTTCTCCTCCTCTCATGTCTGACGCTGCCGTGCTCTGCTCCTCTCTCAGGGCGTGAAGGAGAGAAAACCTGGGGGGTTTTTAGGGGCCCAAAGCCCCGGGGAAGGTGACCACCTCAAGCATCGCAACCCTATTCCCTGCTCCCCAGGATGCTCCAGCCCCGCTGGCAGACAGCTGAGCAGGCAGATATAAACTGTGTCCTCTCCATCGGCAGCAGTGCCGGAGGGGCAGGACCCCCGGGGCGCGGTGCTCCCAAATCCACCTGGCAAGCCCTGCCGGGCACCTGCCCACCGCCGGTGTGCCCCGTGTCCCAGCCGGTGCATCCATAGGTGGTGGAAGGGGTGGTGTGTAACCTTTCTCATGTCTTTGCCAACCTTTGCACCTGAAAAGCCAGTGAATTTACGGCATTCGTTGTATTTCAAGATAATTACATCTGAGCTGACCTGTGTGTCAGGGATGATTCCGACAGAGGCGAGATTTGTTGGTGGGCTGGCGCCGGAGCAGGGCTGCAGCACCAGCAGCACAGGAGCTGGAGGTGGCTGGCCCTGGGTTTACAAGCTTTTATCACTCAGCAGCAAAATCCTTCTTCATTTCCAGTGTAGCAGAAGGAATTTGGGGGTACATGGCTCTAGGAGTAAGAGATGGGATGGAGTTTTGTCCTGAGGGAGAGAGGTTGTACTGGACATCTATCTAGTAGGACTTTAGTGTGCATGGCAGGTCTGTCCCTGTCCTTGTCCTGCTTATTTCTTACTGTTTTACAGCAATATGCAGGGAGAGAAATCTTGGCCTCACTGTGTCTGGTCATGGAGAAACCTCACTGCAGCCAGATAGATGGGATGCTAGTGGGGGAGCAGAGGGAAGCCCCATCACGGAGAGGGACATGACTTCTCCCAGCTGCCCGAGGCTCCTGCATCCCCTGGTACACGCTGCTGGATGCGTCTTGGGGGAGGACAGAAGCTTGGCCACGAAACTGAGCGTCCCCCTGTAAAGCTGAGGCTGCCTGCTACGTTCGCCCAGCAACTTGGGCATCTGCTTGCAATTAGCAGCCTGCATGGCACATCCAACCACCAGCGCTCTGCTGGGAGAGCGGCTGCTCTTACCACGAGGCACTGGCCTCTCCATGCCGCTGGCTTCCTTGGGAGCCCTCAGTGGCAAAGGGGCACCTCAGTCTCCTCATCCACATCCACATCCACATCCATTCAGCCATGCAGATATATTCCTTTCGAGCCCACGGAAGGTTGTGACTCGGGCTGGGCGTGTGTGATTTACGGCTGTTTGAATGAAAGCCTTCACGCCAGGAGAGAGGGATCCATTTTCTTCTCCTCCTCGCCTTGATCTAATGCACTTTAGTTATTTGGTAAATCTTCTAATGGTTTTATAATGCACTAAGTGGAGCAAAGTGACACTATTTTTTCGTATTGATTTTATTGCGTCTTACTAGTTTCATAAGGCCAAGATTCAGAGGGAGCTGGAATAATTCAATAATTCATACTGCCCAAGTGGTTGGTTCAGGCTGAGCGAGGATTAACTTTAAAGAGGGGGGCATTTTTTTCCCTGCTTCTTTCCCCACGTGGATGCTTTCTGCATCCAGAGGGGCCAAATTTGGTGCCAGAGGGAGAGCAATGGAGAGGGGCTGGGTTCCCCATTGCCTCGCTCCTCTTCTCACCATCATGGGCACTTCTACAGCAGCTCCTTCTGTGCACAGTTCTCCAGCGCCCATCAAAAATAACATTCTGGGGGTGATGGAGGGCTGATGATGTTTAGGACAGGACCTGGCTGGGCTGTCCCCTGAGGATGCCTGGGGGCGCCCTGAGACACGTCCCCTCCCTCTCATTGCCGTAAGAGTCCGTCCCGCAGGGGTGTTGTGGTGTGCAGGGGAGCTCTGTGCCCACAGCAAGCCATCAGCAAAGCTCTCGTGGTCACCTGCTACGTGTGTGATGGGGACGGCGAGCTCTGAAAACGGCCATGGCTCTGCACTGAGCTCCTGCAGTCGCCACAGCTGGAGGAGATCCCCTCCCAACAGCCCTTCCTGCGTGCCTTGTCTTCTGTCCCGACAGTTGTGCCCATGAACATCAGCTGCACCCGGACGGACTTCCACATCCAGATCGCCGTGCAGGCCCTGGCCCAGTTGGAGAAGAATAGGATTTATTTGGGGACGCCCTCCTGTGCGGCCAAAGTGGTTGGGGGGAACTTTAAAATACACACCAGGTTTGACACCTGCGGCACCGAATCCCAGGTAAGCAGTCAGCAAACCTTCCTTTAAAGCAAGCTGAGTAGATGTTAGCCCCGTGCTGGTCATACTGGCTGCAGAGAGGAGTTCCCAGTCCCTCTCCCATCTTCCCAGTAGATGCTGGTCTGATTTGTAGCCAACTGCCCTGCAAAACCCTGTGAAAATGAGCTGCACAAAGCCCCTTGTCTTGCAGAAACGCAACAACACGTCTGTCATCGTCAGCACCCTCTACATCGATTTTTCGGCGGGCGACCAGGAGGACATCCACCAGTACGAGGTGCAGTGTGAACCAAAGAGGAAGGAAGCCTCGGTGACCCTCGTCGCCGGCCCCGACCCTTCCAGGCTCAGCCAAGCAGAAAACCTGATGGATGCCCAGCAGCGGGAGGGGGGAGCGATGGACATGCGCGAAATCAAGGGCCAGGACACCAGCGACATCGTCTTCATCAGCATCTGCATACTGGCCGGGCTCCTCATGGTTGTCGCGGTGGTGGGGCTCGTGCTTCTGTAGGATGCTGCTCCCCAGATCTCCAGGCCTTGCAATCCCAGCCCTGCCCAGGGTGGAAACGCACCCCAAAACCCACTCTCACCCTGGGCTGAGCACTAACACAGCTGCTCAAACAGAGACACAGCTTCCAGGCTCCGAAATGGAGCCTGACCCAACCTCCACCTTCCTCCCAGAGCCTGAAAAATCTGGGCAATAGGCAGCCGCTTCCCTTCCCAATTTGTTTTCCTCTGTCTCAATCTGTCCATTTGGCTCGGGAATGCAATTCTTGCGCTTCCTAACTCTTCCCACACCTGCTTCAATTTGTTTTCCCTCTGGTGCTGCTGCTTTCGGGAAAGTAATGTCGTTTGCCGATGGCTGCAAGTCATCCTGTCAATTATTTCTAGCTGAATTCTTGAAGGTACAAACCACCCCCAAATATTGTGATATTCCCCACAAATGTTTTTCACGCTCCCACCCATGCTCAGAGTGGGGTACCGTAGAGCTGTGTTATATCTAGGGTAGATTTAGATTAGATCTAAGGAAGAAATTTTTTACAGTTAGGGTGGTGAAGCACTGGATCAGGATGCCCAGAGAAGTTGTAGATGCCCCATCCCTGGAAGTGTTCAAGACCAGGTTGGATGAGGCTTTGGGCAACCTGGTGTAGTGGAAGGTGTCCCTGCCCATGGCAGGGGGGTTGGAACTAGATGATCTTTGAGGTTCCTTCCAACCCAAACTGTTCTATGATTGTATGATCTCCACTTGGCATGTATAGATGTAGCTCATGTAGGTGCTCCCAGGTGGTGTTTCTAGATATCTGCAGAGGATGTGATGAGACACATTCGCCAGGCACCCTGGAGTTCCTTGATTGATCTCCACACCTTTCTCGCAGGACTCACCTGAGCACTTCAGCCACCAGTGGCTGGAGGGAGGGAGAACAATCTCTCTTCTCCTCTGTGCTTTCCTCCTTTCCAGCATGCTCAGGTGTCCATCGCTGTAAGCTCTGTACCAGCATTGCTCCCAGAGACTGAAACCGTGGGCAGATTGTGATGGGACTTGGCAGGCTCCGGTGCTGTGGAGCCTGAGGAGGTGTGTTGGAACTTTCAGATTTTGGTAACCTTGTAAAGATGGCCTTGGCAGGAGGGTCTGGCTCCCCTGGGACCTCGGTGATGCCAGACCTGCACCCTTGGTCCCCACAGAAGGTGAGCTTAGCAGCCCAGAGCATCAAAATAAGATTCCTGTGGTCACCTGCACCTCCAGAAAACTTGAGTTCCTCTTAAAGAGCCCTGATGTTACTGACTTTTGCATGGCCAAATAACCCCACCTGCCTCTTGTGCCCTACCAATGCAAAGGAAATTTCCTTTCAGCATCACCTGGGGGGTGGCTCTTGCAGAGCAGTCCACGTTTGTCCCGGCGTGGGCCAGAGCCAGCATGAAATCTCACTGCAAAAAGCAGGGTGAATGCAGCCCTGGAGCCTGGTGTAGAGGCCATCCACCCCAGCCGGTGCAAAACACGCTGTGGTGCTGCGAGAGACCTTAAAATGTCTGAACGTGACCATTCATGGGCAAAAAATTGAGCTTGAGGGCAGCGGGGTGATCCAGGAGCCATTTCTTTGATAGCTTTAAATGTGAATCCATCCTAAGGAAGGCACCGGCTATTCCCCTTAAGCACCATACCGCATCCCAAACGCCTCTTGCTGCTTCATTCACCGGTGGGATTATTAGCAGGGGCCGACCGGACAGTCCCATAGGTGAAAGGCTTTCCTGACCGGTGTCCTGCTTCCCGCACCTGCTGGGACGGGTCCGAACCTGCTGCCAAGCATCCGAGGAAACGGCAGTAAAGGAAAAGGATGGGGATCAAGCAGCTTTTCCTCCTGGTTTGCGTCGACTGGCGGATGCCTGCGAGGGTGTCTGGGGAGGGGATAAGGCACGTATCTGCGCACGCCTCCTGATGAGGAGCCTTCGTTGTCGGAGCCCGGGTTGATTTGGCGTTTGTTGGTGCAACATGTCAGCAAACACGACGTTTCCGAGTGAAATATTTGCCAGCGCCGTTAAGCTCCATTAAGGCAACGTTTTGCGAGTGTGTTGTGTACGTGGATGGGAAACAGGGCCAGACCCCCGTGCTGCCTGCGGAGCCATGCTGCCGGTTAATCGCTGGGTATGTAACCGTCAGCCTGAGACGACAGTTACAAGATTTGACAACTGAAGAAACGAAAAGATAGAATTTACATTCCTGGCAGCCCAGATTTTGCTGGCACAGGTGCACGCTGCAGCCCGCTTGTGCCTGGCGGGGACCCCGCAGCACCCAGCAGCACCCAACCCCTCACCCACAGGATGGCACCTCCTTGTTCAGCCGCAGCCTCCGGCACCCTGCGATTTGCAGGGAAAAACGCTTTTCTGGGTAGCTGTTGGTGTTGCACTCACATAAGGAGTTGGACCTGGTCCCGGAGCCCAGCAGCAATATGAACCGTTGCTGGACTTGCCCTGGGGAGCGTTTCCAGCTCTGGCTCCGGTCGAGGCTCTCCGCACATCCCTGGTGCAGCGCTGGCCTGCACCCATCCCTCGGGACGCAGGAGGGATGCGGGAGCAGCTCTGTTCCCCCGATCCGAGGGGCTCCCCAGCACCCCCAGCCCCGCAGGGTGTTAGACCGGGGCTCACAGCTGGGATGACTGACATGACCTGAAGTTCTTACAAAAGCCCTTTCCGGGCTTGTTCCTGGATACAAGTGCAGGTGCACCTGTGACTGCCGCCAGCAGTGAGCTGCTCAAACCGGTCATCCCCCATGGAGTGAGGATGATCCCTCCTCAGCCTCCAGTCATGCTCCAGCCTGTCTCAGCCTCTCGTTTTCTCCATGAGGTTTTGGCACCCTGTCTCTCCTGGGTTCTCTTTCCTGGGCTGCATCCAAAGCAGTGTGGGCAGCAGGTTGAGGGAGGTGATTCTGCCCCTCTGCTCTGCTCTTGTGAGACCCCACCTGCAGTGCTGCGTTCAGCTCTGGGGTCCCCAACACAAGAAGGACATGGAGCTGTTGGAGCAGGTCCAGAGGAGGGCCACGAAGATGATCCGAGGGCTGGAGCACCTCTCCTATGAGGATAGGCTGAGAGAGTTGGGGCTGTTCAGCCTGGAGAAGAGAAGACTCCGAGGAGACCTTCTAGCAGCCTTCCAGTACCTAAAAGGGCTACAAGAAAGCTGGAGAGGGGCTTTTTACAAGGGCATGTAGTGATAGGACAAGGGGCAATGACTTTAAACTGGAAGAGGGGAGATTTAGATTAGAGAGAAAGAAGAAATTTTTTGCATTGAGGGTGGTGAGGCACTGGAACAGGTTGCCCAGAGAAGTTGTGGCTGCCCCATCCCTGGAAGTGTTCAAGGCCAGGTTGGATGAGGCTTTGAGCAAACTGGTCTAGGGGAAGGTGTCTCTGCCCATGGCAGGGGGGTTGGAACCAGATGATCTTGAAGGTCCCTTCCAACCCAGACCATTCTATGATTCTATGATTCTCTCACTGTCCCACAGGATTTTGCTCACTGACATCCCCTGTTAAACCACCTCTTCCCTGATATACAGTGCCTTCCCTTTCTGTTCCAAATTTGACACCCTGGGAAGCTGCTTCTGCAAATACCCTGGTGGTGTCACCACCAGCGCTGGCCAAGTCCTCTGTGCTCTGATACCCAACACCACCGAGTGTGAGGACCCTGATTAAAGCCATGCTGGCAGCGTGGGGCAAAGGGGACATCGTGGGCACAGAGGTAACGCCTGAGTTTGGGGCCCCAACCATCCTCCTGGTTTGGTGGCTGGGGTGTGGGAGCACCAGCTCTCCCTGGTGAATGCAGGATTGGTTTCCATCCAAAATGGAAAACACCAAATGGAGTTTTGAAGGCACTCATGAAGTGCCTGTGGCTTTGCAAAGCCCCCCTCAGCCCTCCGCAGAGCCTGGATTTTCAGCCCAGACCTGCTCCTGGTGGGTTGATCCTGCTCCCCAAATCACCCAATAGCTTCCCCAGCTCCTTCCCCGCACCATGTCTGGGTGTCCCCCTCCCCAGCACCCATTTCCCAGGGGCTGTTGGCAGCCCAGGAGTGTACTGCTGCTGGCTGGGACATGGTCCCAGAGTGGAACAGCCCCAGCACCCCACACTGGTGCACAAACAGACCTGGCAGCACCGATGGCACGTCCCCATCCCTATCCCTATCACACCCGGGACAAAAGCCCCTTGTAGCCATCACCCTCCCAGCCTTGGGTGACCTTTCCCCATCACTGGGGCTCTGTGCACAGGGTCCTTTGTGCTCGCCCAGCCTGGGACTTACTGGGCTCTCCTGGAGCCATCCCGTGGCCCGGCCAGCCCATGCCCACAGCCGGCTGTGACAGAGACACTGGGCACCGAGTGAAGCTCGGGGATGCTCTGGCTCATTTGTCACCATGATAAGTGATGTGAAATGAGCAGGAGCTGCAGAGAGAGCAAAGGGAAAGGGGCCAGGAGGAGAGAGGAGAGGCATCACCGGGGGCTGGAGCTAGTATGGATTTGCAAATTAATTTCAATAAGAAATCTGTGTTCATCTGATCTCCTCTGTGCAACCGAAGCTGCCCAGAAGTGGATTGAATGACCGTTCTGTGGCCCAGAGGGTTCCCCTGCCACCACTCATGCTGTGCTGCTGAGCGCAGCCACGGACCGGAGCGGGGCTGGCACCCATGGCAGTTCTCCTGCAAGCACGTCCGTTGTCGTCCCGTGGGTGAAGACCCCAGCAGCACCAGAGGTCGCATCAGGACAGCCAGGAGGGGAGAAGGTCCTGGGTAAGTGGGTGCAGAGTCCCCTGGCCAGGCACTGCCCCGGCTGGGGAGGGAGCCCAGGCCAGGAGAGGGATGGTGCGAGCACCCAGCCTGCAGAGAGGGACAGTCTGGGTCAGTTTGTGAAAAAACTCCTTTTTCTCATGTAAAACCCGCTCAGATGAGTCACAAAGAGACACCAGGAATCCATCACCAGCGCTCACTCCCCTCCACCATGCCTGTACTCCTCACACATCGAGCCTCAGTTTCCCTC